TTTATTTTCTCAAAACCTCTAATACCATTCATAAATGCTCAATATGATAAGTTAAACTCTTATTATATATCAAAATGTCATCAAAATAAACAACAAAAAATTTGCCAATGAAAGCATGCAAAACATGATTCATTAATTGTATGAATGTACTAGGCGCATTAGTTAATCCAAATGACATAACTAGCCACTCATATAAACCATGTTTCATTTTAAAGGCTATTTTCCATTCATCTCCTTCCTTCATCCTAATATGATGATACCCACTCTTTAAATCAATTTTAGAGAATAAAATAATAAAAGTTGTGTAGACCCACAATAAAATAATAAAATTACTGTACCAATATGATGGGCTTATACCTGTAATGTCATCTATAGTCCTACCTAGTGTAGCTTTATGTTCTTTTAATATATGCACCAATTTCTCTTCCTGCTCAGCACTAAGTTTAGAAGATATTATAACAGGAAAGGTATCACCTGGACCCAAGAATGCATGTTTCAACCCTTCAAGGAGTAAGGATAACTCTACTTTTAGTGTCTCTAGTGAAGATGGCTTTGGTTATTCCCTTTCACGTGGTAACTTAAAGCTTGGTTGCCAGAACTTTTTTTGTTTATCCTAATTAGCATTAAAAGTAAAAGAAACATAAAAAATATCATTAACAGGATAAAGCAAAAACTCAGAGTTTAAATCAAAATCACAGAGGAAGTGTTCTAGAGATTAAGAATTTTCCCTTTCTTGAACTTCCTCAACAAGTGAATCTATCATGTAGGAATGTTAACATTCATCATCTTCTTGTGGTTGCTTCTCAACATAAAAAATATTCACCTCAAGAGTCATATTCCCAAATGAAAGTTTCATCAAACCATTCCTACAATTAATGAGAGCATTAGCAGTAGCAAGAAATGGTCTTCCTAAAATAAGTGGAATCTTTGACTTACTATTAACTTCAAACTGAGTATCTAAAATAAGAAAATCAACGAGATAATAAAATTTAGGTTTAAGTACCATTTTGGTCCCTCAACTTGTCACTTTGGTACCAAAATTGTCCCTCAGCTGTAAAAAGTACCAAAATTATCCTCAGACTTTCATTTTCGGTACCAAAATGATCCTTCCGTCAGTTAAATGATAAGTGGCTCGTTAAAATGCCACAAAATCATTAAACTTTTTGAATCTTAATGACGTGTAAATCCAACTAAGAAAATTTTTTATACACGTGGCATATTTTTTTACACATCATATTATCCCTTTTTAACTTTCCCTTTTAATGGGGCCCATGTGACTTTTTTAACTTTTCTTATTCTTTCTCTCCTCTCTTCTCTCTTCTTCTTCCTCTTTAGATCTAGGTTTGATCAAACCCAGATCTGGGTTCTTTCAACCCAATAAGAACAATCGATGGCAATGGTTAAATGTCTTCGTTTCCCACAATGTGCCTTTTCATTACTCGTTCTCGAGGAGTCGCCTGTGGATTTTCCGGGAATAAACCACAACGCTGTCGGTAGCTCCTTTCGCTATGTCGAAGTCGTTCGCCAATTCATTGCTTGTGCCTCTCTTCACTACTAGATCTCAAGAAGTCGGCTGTGGATACTCGTCGAATAAACCATTGCTTGTGCCTTTCTTCAATGGACGAAATGTTGGTTTGAGGTTGCGTGAGTGACATTCCACCAAGGATCTCTTAGATCGGTGTCAATGATGGTCCTGGTGATGGTCACTGCTTGATGCTGGTGGATTATTGCTAATGTGATGAAACCCAGATCTGGGTTTGAGAGAGGAAGAAGAAGTGAGGAGACAGAGAAAGAGAAAGAATAAGAAGAAGAAAGAAGAAGGATGAGGCAGAGTTTTCCAAATCAAGTACGTCGCCAAGGTTGTCGATAACAGTGGGTTTGTTCTATTTTTGTTTTGTTGTGCATTGAGCTTGTCATTTCAATTTCCTCAGGATTTTTTTTTTCTGTTGTTTTAGAATTGTGATTGGCATCAAGTGCAAAGCTGGGATCGTTATGGTATGCTTTATCGTCCCTAATTTTGGTATCTGTTGAATCTTGCTTGTGGATTCGTATGTGAATGTAATTTGTGGATTTGGGAACTTCAAGGTGTGGAGAAGCTCATTGTGTTGAAGATGATGTTACATGGTTTCAATCGAAGAATCCACTCCGTTCATCGTCACTCTAGCATGGCATTCGAGTTGAGAGAACCCTCAAACCCAGATCTGGAGAGGAAGAAGAAGAGGGAAGAGAGGATAGAGAGAAAGAATAAAAGAAGTTAAAAAAATGTCATGTGGACCCCATTAAAAGGGAAAGTAAAAAAAAATGATAATATGACGTGTAAAAAAATATGCCACGTGTATAAAAACATGCCATGGTTGCAAGATTTTATTTGCTAGATTTACACGTCAATAAAATTTAAAAAAAAAAAATCAGTGATTTTGTGGCATCTTAACGTGCCACCTGTGCACTTAATTGACGGAAGGACCATTTTGGTACCGAAAATGAAAGTTTAAGGATAATTTTGGTACTTTTTAAAGCTGAGGGATAATTTTGGTACCAAAGTGACAAGTTGAGGGACCAAAATGGTACTTAAACCAAAAATTTATTAATATGAAGCAAAACATCTTCTACTATCCCTCTTGGTTTCCTACAAGAATGGTCAGTCAATTGTAACACCACAAATGTGGGTTTTATTTCTGCAAGACCTAACTGCAAATAAACTAAATAAGGCATTAAATCACACTTCCTCCTAAATCCAAAAGAGTTTGACCAAACTCTTGTGACCCAATTAAGTAGAATATTGTTAGACACCCTAGATCTTTATACTTTGGTGGTGTTTTTTGCTCAATCATCACACTTACCTATTCTATCAAGAATGCAATTTTCTTGACATGGTGTGCCTTTTTCATGGTGCCTAGATCCTTGATCACTTTGGCATAATTTGGTACCTATTTAATCACATGTAACAAAGGTAGATTAATCTTAACTTGTTTCAAATGTTCTAAAATCTCACCTCTGTTGTTTGAAATTTTTCCAGTTCTAAGAGCTTAAGGGAAAGGAACTTGAATTGGAAGCTCATTCTTAGGTTCCTTTAACAGGTCGCATTCATGGCTACTTGGAGTAGCATCCTTCAGTTGAGGTGATTTTTGCAGCAGCTCTATAACCTTACCAATACGAGTAGTGATAGCGTCGACCCCTTTAATGTTCTCCAAATTAGAGGTAGATTCCTACACCAAATGTAAATTTTTAGGATTGGCTTAAGATTGAGATGGAATCTTACCTCACTCTTGGATAGTAAGAGCATTGGTCAACTTAGTTAGTTGACTCTTGATATCCTTGTTTTCTTCAACCATTTGTGTAAGAATAGAAGCAAATCTTTGGTTAGTCTTAGTCTGTGCCTTCATAAATGCCTTAAATGTTTCCTCTAAAGGATTCTTATCTGGTTGTGCATTATATTGAGGTGTAGGGTAAAACCTAACTGGTTGAGTTGCACTATTCCAAGTACTGTTGAATGATGTGGGATGGTTCTAATTAGCCTTCCAACTAAAATTGGGATGGTTCCTTCAATTAGGATTGTATGTTTTTTAATTAGGTGAAAAAGGTTTCTTATTCATTCCTAATGCATTGCATTGTTCTTCATAAAGTCCTCTCATTGTTGCACTAAAATCACTCAAACAAGTGTACTAGTTGCTCTAAGTAATATAATAATAAGTAGAATGTCGAACCCACGACAATTGTATTTAACTAAGTACCAAAAATAATTAATCTAAATTGATTTCAACAATCGAAAGAGAATAAACTTTAATTAAAATTGATAAAAAAAATTAATAATTAAAATAAAATTAATCAAGATATGAGGTACTAAGACCTCGTTTTCACCATAATCTATCAATATAAATTCTGGCTTTATATGCTTTCAAAACTAATTTAGTAAGTGTTATTGCATGTGATGGTGAATTTCTCTAAATTAATTAACTAACTTTTTCAAGTCAATTTAATCCTTCACTTGTTTGTTAAATTAGTCATATTTCTATGTAATTTTAAACACATTAATGAGTATTAAATTCTATAGAAACCTCTAACTTAAGAAGGGGGAGCTCTTAACTCTCTTCTCTTCTTTTACTACCACATGTAATGCTAATTACCTTTCGGTTTCATAGTTTAACACACGGTTTATATTATTATTGGTCTAATTTACGCAATTCTTTCTCAAGATCATGCATAAATTACTAAATCAATCGAAAGGTAATCAAACTTTCAATGTATTAAATTCAATAATATAAGCTCATCATATGAATAACTTTAATTGCAAGTATAAAAGTCACAAAATCTATATCAAATTAATTAGGCTATATCGTAACCCTAATAAAATAAATTAGTTCATAATAAAAATAGTAAAATCTAAAATCATAGTTATGAATATAAAGATATCAAGGAAGAATAAAACCCAATTTGAGAAAATTGAACTCATAATTCTTCTATTATTGAGGAATCTTCTATTTTGATCTCCAAAAATGCTTAAAAAAGGACTGTCACCAACCTCCTAAGCTCTCATCCAAAGCTCTCTTGATTTTGAATTTGGATAGGTATTTATAGGATTTTAGAAACCCTAATTAGAACAAAAGTGAGACCCACACCTAAAATAATAAATTAAACACGAATTTTTGTAAAAATTGCATAAAGGGTCAACACCTTCAATAAGGTGTCGCCACCTTCTATTCAACGTACAATACCATCACTATGTCGGGTTTTCGGCCTTCTAAGTAGTTTCTGCTAATAGTAAAATGGCAATTATGGTCCTTAACTTTGGGATTTTGCACAAGTTAATCCTCATGTTTCTGATCTTCGCAATTTACTCCTAAAAATTATGATTTCTTCCAATTAAATTCTTTCTTACAGAAAAAATGAAAATTATGTAAAATCAAATAAAATTCCATAAAACTCATCTAAATATCAATAATATCTACACAAAAATTCCACATTACTATGTATATAAATTTAGCTCATCACTCATCTCACCATAAGTTGGGCAATCCTGAGCTAAATGATCCAATTCCCCACAAACGAAATGTAATATCCCCAAATTTTAGGGACTTGGTTGTGAGAGATTCTTATTAATGAGCTTAATGGTAAAACTCTCCGAAGTTAAGGGGCTTAAAAGAAAACAATTTGGATAAGGTCGGCAAAGATTTCCTTTTTCTTTCTTTCTTTTCTTCCTTATCCAGTCGCGTGTCCTGTTCTTCCTCTTCCCCGACCCTCTGCAAGCCGACAAGCCCCAGCTACCGCCACCCCTTTTTCCAGCCGGGAACACCGGTAAGAACTTGGAGAATTCTTCTCCTTTCCTGGTTCTAGGACATCTATTCAACCCAGAATTTTTCCAGATCTGCTCTCTTCCCTCTACCGTGAGTTCCCTGCTGCTGGGTGCGCATCTCTGGGCTTTTTCCGGTAAGCAACAGGCATGAGTTCCTCCCTTCAGCTCTAAATTGGCTTGGGTCACTCTAATTGCTTTTATTTCTGTCAATTTCGTGTTAGCTATTGGAAAATCCGGATTTGCTTTGCTCTGTCCGCCGGCTGCTCTTGTTGTGGGGGCGAAATTCTTCAAATTCCGGTGAGCCACAGCCATGTACTCCATCTCTTTAGCTTTGAATTGCCTTGGGTTTGCCTTAATTTCTCTTATTTTTCAATTTTTGGGTAGATTTCCGTGAGTTTCCCTGCACTTGCCGCCGGCCTCTTCCCCAATCTGCACTTCGGTTGGCTTGCTGGATTTTCTGGTATGTTGACAGCCCCTCCAAGCCCCGAATTTGTCCATTTAGTTTGCTGCCTTGTGTGTCCGAATTGTGTTGGAAAAATGGGGAAATTTCGGTAGCAATTAGGAGGGGTTTAAGTGTGTTTTGTTGCTTAATTCATGTAGAAAATTAGTTAATTGACTATTGTGATTTTTGGAGAGAAAATCCCGTGAATTTGCTAGTGTTTTGGCCAATTTTTGAAAGTTGGAGTTACTGTTCACGTCGTGGTACTGTTCATGGCACTGTTCACAGATTACAATTCACGGTCAACAATTAACGGAGATTTAAATGATTAGTTTGTGATATAAGAACTAATTTGGAGATATCGGGTAATGTGGAGATTTATAGAAATACTATCGTGATTTGGGGTAGTCTTAATGATGATTTCAATGTGAATTTATGATAGTACGGAATTAATTCTTGGAATATTTTGATTAGGTTTCTGATCGTTTTGTCAGTTTAGCACTGAGATCGAGTGTTCGGTTTTATGCGAGTGAGGTAAGTAGATTATGGTAACGCCCTTCGATTTCAAAAGCATGTTTTGATTTGTTTTTGAAATGGTGGCGGGACTAAACCCGTTTTATGCAAAAGTAAGTATGACTGATTTGAAGTGAAATTTTTATGCTTTTCATTAAATTGAGCATGCCTACTTGAAATTTAATTGATTGTCCTGATGATTTGAAGTGATTGGTGAATTATGATTTTTCTGTTAACTTCTCTGCCTGTTTTGTCTCCGATGTGGTCATGTTATTTCTGTAATCCTGCTAGTGGGGGTTAAACGCTAGCACATGTTGACATGTATTTCTGTAGAGCCGGTTCCTCTTGCCAGTGGGAGTTGTTAAACACTAGTATTTCTGTAATCCTGTTAGTGGGAGTTAAACACTAGTAATTTATGTAGCCTGCCAGTGGGAGGTTTAAACACTGGCCATGACCTATAGAGGAGACGTCTATTTCATTCCCGTACTGTATCCGTTTTTCGTGATTGTACTTGTTGGCATGCTATAAGTTAATAAAGGGCACTCCATATTTACTTACTGAGTTTATCTCATAGTTTTTCCTTGTCCACCATTTCAGGAAACGAAACCGAGGACGGGGAAACCATGGGAAGTGACGAGTTAAAAGGCTAGCCATTTCAAGATTGATATAGATTTTAGATATAGATTATGATCTTGTAAACTGGATTTTAATTGGAGATTTTATAAATTCATTGATGGATTGTTAGTTACAAAAAAATTTGATCTTCAGATTTTGATGGTATCAGATTGTGATTTGATTAAGTTCCGAGCCTTGTGCATTTGTGGGATCTGTCTCACGAGTGCACAGCGTCTGTCGCGCCTCGAATTTGGGTTTTGGGGCGTGACAGGTATATAGGTATTGACTCTCATACCTAATACTTACTTGATACTTAGTAGGTATGCATTTTTCATACCTAATATTTAACTCTCTTCATAGATACATGCAAAATACCTACCTAGACAAGTCAGATACCTACAGATATCAGATATTCCCGTACCTGATGCTTAGCCCTAACAAATGGATGTGATTTGGATGATTTGGGCCTAGTGGTTTTGTTGATGACCACTTAAGATTTCAAAAAAAAAAATAAAAATAAGTGTAAAAAATATAAAAAGAGTTACCAGTCATCCAAATTGTGAGGTGGACAAGTCACATAAAAATGAATCTACATAGAGATTGGGGTTTGGGAGTTCAGTTAAGAGTGAGGAAAGACATGCACACCTCACAATCCTTCATATAAACACAGTTGTATACTTTAACATCGGAGTTTTAATTCAACTTATTTATAATACTTGTATTTAGGTCTTAATAAGCAAGCTTGAAAAATGGATGGACCGAATTGCAACATTTTAAACTTTTGGATTGAAATGGACAAAATCAAGAATATGCATGCACAACGGCCACCAATGAAAAGTTAAAGGGATTGATTTGGTCAACTTTGAAACATAAAGAACTGATTTGAAAAGGCTTTAAAATTTCTAGACTAAATTGCTTGATCATGAAAAGTTTTGGATAAAATTCAAATAAAAAAAAGATAATTTTGCCCTTTGAAAATGACTTAGATTAAAGAAAGTAGAGGATTGAAATTAATTAATTATGATAATTAGTTTAATTGAATGATTAATTCAACATTAATTAAAATTAATTAATCACATTTATTAACCTCTAATCAAGACAATTAAATAAAACTAATAACCTCAAATTAAGACCAATAAACATAATTAATTTACTTTAATTAAAATTAATTAAGTTTGTTAATCACACATTAAACTAGTTGCCCTAATCAATTTATCATTTTATTTATACATATACTTTTTCCTTTTACCCTTTTTTTAGTTTTTTTTTTTTTTTTTTTTTTTTGGTTTACTCATAGACCTACTTGAATGGGTCAAGTCGACTTGACCAAAAGACATGAACCATCAACCAAAAATAGGCAAAATAGATTAAAATCTAGACAAAAATGGAATCTAGACAAAAATGGAATCTGGACATAAACAAAAGGAAATTTAGGGTTCTTATTCAACTATTCATCAACACAAACAAAAGGAAAACAAATAAACATCCACTCAAATTCAAATCCATGAAATTTAGCAGAACATGCTTGATTTTTATTCATAATATCATCATCTAATATAGTTCCAATACATCAAAATCTAAGGAAATTAAATCAAACAAGGCCGAAGCTTTTTGGAGAAGACAAATCAAGATCAAAAGGAGGGATCCCACCCATGAGATCAAGCTCCATTCGTCTCCATCACTGCCCTTCCCAAAAATTCCTTTGTCTAGAAAATTACCTACAATGATGAAACCCAGAAAATAGAGCTCCTCTGGAACCCCGAACCAGTCACTCCTCTAGAAACTCAATGATCCTCCTCTTTCAACCGTCATTCCCCAAAACAAAAACCCTTTTTCTTTTTCCTTTCTTTGTCCTCCTTTTTCTTCTAGAACCCCCAAAACCCTTTCCTATTTATATGGCTCGAAACTAAAAAACCTAAAACCCAAATCACCCAACAAGCCCATACTCCCTAAAGCTTTGCCCATTTGGATCTACACTTTCCCGGCCTTTGGATGTAATTTGGACCTTGATATGCAAGGAATGGCCTTGTATTGAACCTCTTTTGGCTGGAAAAATGATCTAAACAAGAACTTAACAAATCTGCAGTCAAACTCAAGAGTTCCTAGGAAGCTTCTTCTTGTTGGCATCACATGAATAACACCATCATCACTAATTGATAGATCTGAACATTCTTTTGTTGTTTTTTTTATTCACTTACCTCTAGCCTTCTCTAGTGATCATGAATCCAAGATCAAAGATGAGAGGAAAAATAAAATGTGGAAGGAGAAATTGAAGATGAGGAAAAAGGTGAAGGCTTGGATGGGATTTGATGGTTTTGAAGCCATGGAATATAATGATAGGAGAAGGAGAAAATGATTGTCAATAGGCTTTTTTTTTTAGGAAGAGGAGATGGCTGTTGGCTATTTTGAGGCAGAAGATATCTAAGGAGGAAGAAAGGACGAGGGTCACATGAAAGAGGAGACTTAAGATGCGTTTGGGATTGCTGTGAAGTGTTGTGGCTGTAGTTTTGGCTGTGCTTAGCTGTAGTTGTACTACGCTGTAATTGCGGCTGAAAGTTATTTAGTATTTGGTTATTTATTTTTTAAAAGTATTATAGATGAAATAAAATAGATTTTATTAATTATTAATTAAAATTTTAAAAATACTATAAAATATAAAATTATTAAAATATATAATATTTATTATTTTTTAATAATTTAGGTTTTTTAAATTTTTTTAATTATTAAAGTATTATAAATTATGATGTAATTAAATTATATGAAATTAAGTTTGAATTTCACCATCAAAATTTTAATTTCTTCAATTGAGTCCGTTCTTTCAATTCTTTTCCCATCTCTTCATGAAATTCCTCTTTTGCTCAAAAAATCTAACAAAGCAAAAAAAAAAAAAAAAGAAAGAAAGAAAGAAGCAAAACAAAAAAACAAAACAAAACACATTAGTTAAAATAAAGATTTAATCAAAAATTTGAGTTATGATAAGTTTGTCCTAACATAAACAATGGAAAGGTAAGGCCCAATCAGTCTGGAAATATAAATGCCCAAGTGACTTAATCATAAGCATTTCTTTAATGATATTTTCATATTTCTAATTCCAACCTAGAAATGAGTTGTAATATCCCAAAATTTTGGGGTATTTTAGCATTAAATTGGGGACTTATTCGAGGAAAAATATTGTTTTGGGGCTTAATTGCAAAATTTTTAAAAGTGAGGGACTAAAAAGAAAGGAAATTTGGATAAGGATCACCTGCTTTTTCTTTTTCTTTTTCTTTCTTTTCTTCCTCATCAGCCGCGTGTTTCTGCTTCTGCTTATCTTCTTCCTCCCGAAAGCCCCCTCAAGCTGCCGATTGTTTCCCCTTGAGAAACTCGGCAAAAGCTTGAAAATTCTCCTTCTTCTCTTGTTAAATAGCAAGCATAGAACCTAGAAATCCTTTCCCCCCATCTGCAGAAAATCCCGATTCTGCTCTGTTCCGTCCCCTGCAGCCGACCGAAGCTCCCCAGCCACCGCCACCCATTTTTCGGCCGGAACACCGGCAAAGCTTGGGATTTTCTCCTTTTTTTTCTTGTTCTTGAACCCAGAAATCCCCCCCCCCTCTCTGCTGGAAATCTCGGTTCTGCTCTGTTCTTCTCCCTTGTCCGTCGGGTTCTGCTGGGTTTGAATCCTTCGGCTTTTTCTGGTAAGATTTAGCCATGAATTCATCTCTTTAGCTTTGAATTTCGCTTGGGTTTACCTTGAATTGTGTTTTGGTTTTTGGATTGAGGTAGCCGTGAGTTTCCCCCGAATTTTCTGTACATGCCGTCGGCCTTCACCCCAAACCCGCCAACTCCAGCCTTGCTTGCTGAAATTTTCTGGTAGGTTGGCTTCTTTAATTCTTGAAAACTAGTTGATTGATTGCTGCCTATGTTGTCCGAATTTTGCTGGAAAAATGGGAGGAATTCGGGTAGCTTTAGGACCATGATTTAGCTTAATTCAAGTGGGATTTATGTGATTGAGTGTTAATTGATTGCTATGATATTTTGTGTGAAAAATCCCGTGAGATTAGCTATGGTTTTGCTAATTTTTGGAAGTGGAAGTATTGTTCACGGCGTGAGCACTGTTCATGGGTACTGTTCATAAGCACTGTTCACACACCGAGGGTTAACGATTAGCGAGGATTTAAAGGTTTAGTTTGTGATATAAGAATGAGTTTGGAGATGTCCGGTTATGTAGAGATTGATAGAAATAGCACTGTGATTAGGGGTAGTGCTAAAGATGATTTCACTGTAAATTTGTGGTGGTATGGTTATTAATTGTGGAATATTGTGATTAGGTTTTGATTGTTCTGTCACCGTAGCACTTGGGTTAGCCTTCTGTTTTGTGTGAGTGAGGTAAGTAAATCATGGTAAAGCCCTTCGATTTTAAAGCATGTTTTAAACTATTTTTGAGATGTTGGCAAGGTTTAAATTGATTTTAAATTGATTTTATCAGCATCTGAATGTGATTAAACAGAAATGAGAGTTTTGATGGACTGAAATGAGAATTTCCTGGTTTTTCTAGAAATGAGTATGATTGATTTGAAATAAGATTATTAGTCTTTTTGTATCGATTTGAGCATGCCTACTTGAAGTTCATGTGATGGTCCTGACGATTTGAAAGTTATTTGTAAAGAATGATTTTCTGTTAACTTCTGCCTGTTTTGTCTCCGATGTGGTTATGATTATTGATGATCCTGCTAGTGGGGGTGAAACGCTAGCACATGTCGGCACATGTCGATATGTTATTAATGATCCTGCTAGTGGGGGTGAAACG